CTGATTCGGGGATAGGCTTTTCTTCTATGACTGGCTGAGTTTTATCCTTCACCGCCGCATCTCCTCGTATGCCAGCACTCACGTCATCCAGTAAATTCTTGACTGCTTCTGTTTTATGCATGGCATCTTTGAAGGTCTTCAACCCAAAACCTCCAAACGTTGTCGGCTGCGGAATTGATGGTGCAGGCACGGAAGGGATACTCTTTGGAGCCACGTCTGGAAGGAACATCTCGCCTCCTGTTTCTAGGGGCGCTTGGAAATCTTGCTGAGCCAGCTGGCTGATGCGAGCAATGTGGTCCAGCTCTTCTTGAGTAAGTTCCGTAGCGCTGGGAGCAGGTGGAATTACTTTGGGAGGAACCAGAGTTTCCTCTTGCAGAGCCATTTCTGTTATGCGCTTGATATGATCAAGCTCTTCTTGAGTCAATCCGCCTGGTTCTGCGGACGCAGGTGGAACTGGAATTGGTAGCTCTCCTGCAGCCATAGCTTCGATCTGTTTGATATGATCGAGTTCTTCCTGAGTCAGTCCCATAGGTGCTGCTGCAGGTGGCGGTTTCATGGGTACTTCCTCTTGCGAAGCAATTTCGGCAACTTCTCGAATGTGGTCCAGTTCAGCTTGTGTAAGCCCTCCTTCACCTGCTGCTTCTCCGATGTCCATGATTGAAGGTGCAGGACTCGGGCTCATTTCCTGAGGCACTCTCGGACTTTTGGCAGCAGCCAGATCTTCTAAGGCGCTCTTGGCTTGTTCTGCCTTCTGCATAGCGCCTTTGAAAGTCTTCAAACCAAATCCAGTAAATGACTTCACACCAAACAGAGATGTACTACTTGCTTGGGGTTGCGGTTTAAAAGTTGTACTTGTCTGGGGTTGTGGTATGGATTCCTGAGCCGGCACCGGAGTGGAAATCTTGCTAAGCGGTTCTTGATCTACAGTCTCATCTGCTTTGACTAGAGCTCCACCACCCGGTAGAGGCAAACCTCTTTCGCCTTCTTCCTGCATAGCCAGCTGATTGATTCGGTTGATATGGTCCAGCTCCTCTTGACTTATCTCAAACTCTTCGCCATGCACCGAATCGGGAGCTTCAGTAATCTGTGACT